TGGGAGGCGGCTGGCCTGACGACCCAGGACATGAAAGCATTCGTGTGGGAGCTCGGCAAACTCGGTTTCTGCTGGCAGTTCATTACGGTAAGCCGCCGTCTGTTCCATAGAGATACCCACGGATGCTGATGACGGTATTAGCTCGCGGGTCTGCACTCGAACGCGTACATCAATGACCTCTTCGCCAAAGCATTCTCGCAGGAGGGTATGAAGGCCTACGTCGAGCTCATTCAGCGACGTGAACGTGAGATCGGCTGCGATGTCCTGACTCACCAAAAGGTATGCCTACCCACAAACGACGTGTATCCTCAGCTGAATCTTGGTTGCAGTGGAGCGGCGCGGACTACATGGACAACCTCATGAAGACAGTGACGGGCGGTGTCTCGTCTACGGCGGCCATGGGCAAGGGTGTCACAGAATCGCAGTTCGGTGCCAAGCTCTAGTGTCGGTTGGCCTGGCCGAGATCAGGAATGTTTGGATATCTCAACCAGCATACTTGTCAATGCGTACCTGTACTTTTGGTGTAAAATTCTATCAGCATATCTCCACATCAATTGGAACCAAGGCTAGTCTTAGCACATAGCAGACGAATCGGACGACGAGGTAATCCATCCGGCGCCGCCATAGCATGGCATATTGGAGTTAAGCTTACTGTCTTGTTCTTGTTGTGATTTGCTACATGTCGCTGCAATCGTTGGCGTTATCTTTGTGTTAGAAAGTATGACAACTATTGGATGTAGTTGAGCATCTACACCGATTGGGAGATGCAAAACAGTGAAGTTCATGATCAGTGCCGGTCCGGAGAGGGATTAAGGTTACCTTCCAGAAAAGGCAAGCCTCCTTGACCCAGTCTCGCAGCCACCGTGACATTGTCAGTGGCGGTCGCTACAGGCAATCCTCGACGATCACTCACTTACACTCCGTGCCGAGGAAACACAGCATCTGACTCATAGAATCTCAACAATGGACGCGACGGAACGCCTGCAAGCCGCGTCAAAGTTCCTTCTGCAAGCACCTCCTGGTGAAATCAACGATGTCCTGAATGGCGAGCCGACCTCTTTCCTCGATTGCAACGCGCGACGCGAAGACCTGACGCGTTATTACCAACAGATGTTCGGAACATCATATCGGATGATGACTCTCTCCAAGAGGGTGTGCTGCCAGCGTTGCGAGAATACAACCTCGCGCAATTCATGACTGCGGATGTTCCGGGGCACAACCACCAGGTGAGTCTCGTTGAGTGGATATGCCTGAGCGGCTTGGGCTTATACGTTCTTCTCTCACAAGTCAATAGTAAGCGAGGCTGCGCGTGTCTCAAATTTGAACGGGGAGGGCGAGGGCGAGCAGCTCGATAGATTTTGGGATCCGCGGTCGAGAACGAGCTTCCGTTTCGATCATCTTAGTCTGGTGAGTGCGTGTTCGCAACCTGTATCAGTACACACGACGAGAGCGACGTGTCTGTTGTGTAGGAAGCATCCGATCCAGAACACGTAGAGCCGGATCCTGAATCTGAGCCCTTCCGGTAGGCCGTTTCTGCACACTTGGTATCTTCGCTCACTCCGTGCTTGCAGGGCAGCTCTGGAAACAGCATCCATCGCGTACCTTTCCGCACACTTCCATGGCGGTGTCACCTCCATCTTCCCAACACCCGGCGCCGCGACGCGTTTCTACGTCCAGATCGTCGCGAACAAGTACAACCCGTCGAACTTCTGGTATGATCATCCCGCATCCATCCAGCGTACGAATTCTGAGCCCTCTGCGTAGGTCGGGCAGATGGAGATCTGAATACGTCGTCGACCTGGTGTCGAAACAGCTGAAAGGGCGCATGCTCGTGAACGTCCACTACTACGAGCAGGGCAACGTGAGTGGCGTCAACTACAATCACTGTCAGCTAAAATCAATGCCCGCCCCAGGTCCAACTATCTACCGCGCATTCCATTGACCTTGCCCTTCCGCCCGCGATCACATCATCCTCAGCTACGCCGTCAGCCAACAAGATTCTCGCGCTCATCGAAGCCGAGGAGGGCAAGTACCAAGCCTCGCTAAACGACGCGTACGCGGATATGGGTGAGAAGACGTTCAAGGGTCTTCGACGAGCCTTGCCCATGACCCGCTCCAAGCTGGACTGGGATAGGGTGCGTAGATCGGTTACGCACATTTCGGAATGAATCTAATGCTCGGTTTACAGGTGCTGGGCTACAAACTTGGCGCGGAGCTCTCGTCGAACAGGGGCGCGTTTGGTACATCATAACAGCCGTTATAAGATGATACAATGTAGGGTGTAGGGTGTAGATCGAAGAATCTCGCAATGTAATTCTGACCTTGTCGAATTGTCCCGTTCTGCATTGTGTTACGACTGAGTACTGAGCATTCAAATATGCCCGAGCACGCTTTCATCAATATGTCCATAGCATTCTCGCCATAGCTCTAGACCATCGCAATGCGCGTACGTAGTCTACTTCAGTGCCCTAACTGATTGCAACCAACAACTTCCTGCCATACACTAGCGACACCCTCCTCTTCACACCCCACTTGCATGCCGTTGTCGCGCAATATGAAGTACGCTCGATGAGGCGTCTGCACGACGGCAAGCGCGGGGTGCAACGGCTTCCCCCCTGTGGACGTGAAGTGGATGCTTTCGATATGATGGTGTCTGGGGAAGCAAGGCGCAATGAGCCTACGTATATGGGCGACGAGTCCATCATCCAGACTACTCACTCTGGCAGGTACATGTTGACTTGGCCGGCCTTGGGGCGCACGCTGGCTGCGTGGCTGCGGGACGAGAGTCCATCGAAATCTTGTGCCATCTCCGATGCAGACATCCATTGTCCACTGACACTGTAAAAAGAGTTGTTCAGGAATATGGATGAGGAATACAAGAAGAGATCCTTGACCTGTTCGCGACGACACACGCAAGGACGTATCGCTCTGCAACGATTCGCTTGGCCCGACCTAGCTCTCCTTCGCCTTGTATTCTCTTCAGCCACAGGCGACTAATCCCACGCTCGTATTCTTCGTGATTCGCCCATTTCAGCTGATCCAGTAGCCTCAACGTGGTAGACTCCTTGCTTGAACGCAGATGCCGATCTACGTACTTTGACCAATCCGCACGCACGGGCATATCAGGTTGGGTGGCTGGATCACGCTGTCCTGGAGAATGGGCTACTGCCGGACGCCCAACCGGTTCGTAGGTCGCCTCTAGAACGTAGAACGTTTCCCTTTGTTGACTGGAGCCAATCCCGTGTTCCACGGTGATACTCCAGATCTCGTTCGGGATAACGGGTTGGGCGTCGACCACGACAGCTTGCAGCCAGGAAATTGATTTCGAGTCGTCGGCGCCGCATCCGATAGACAGAGCAAACCAGAGCCTAGACAGTACGAACCTAGATGACGGTCTGCGTTGAGTCTTTGTATAGATACAACCTGACGAACGTACTTTAGCGCAACGCTGATTTGCTTGTCATCGTCTGGGCTTGACCAGAGGTGACTAGCGACCGGGTCAGGTAAACCTCGAGACCTAATGAACTTGGCAAGGAACGACGCTTCGTGTATGCGCCGTCGCTGCAGAGCTTCTGCCTCGCGGATGCGAAGATATGGCCATGTGTTCGTCATGGCCTGCGAGTACTGCGAGATGTCTTGAGAAAGTCTGCGGCCATCATGACGCTGATTGAGGATATGGAAGGCGGAAAGGTACACTGCGAGGCAAGCAGGTGACATCGACTCAGCTTTGCGCTTAACAGAGGTGGTCAACGAAGTATGTATACCTGCGTAACGGAACATGCGCGAGACTAGGACACATTGTCTTCTTTCTGCAGCTGCCAATCCACTCAGTATGACAGCCCAGTGTTGTACGCGCTTGCGCTGTGCCAACGAGGGCGGGAGAGTAATGGACGTGAGTTCTGGGACGGGCGCCGGTGGCGGGAAGTCTAGATGGTACAGAGCGGGAGGTCCTCGGCGTTCTTGTATGTCATTGGTGGTTCGCGAAGGAAGCGTACGTGTCACTTTGGCAGGTGCTGCTTGTGGGCGTTTGGTGACCACTAGCTTCTGGAACCGTTTGCCAGTGATCTTTGGAATCGATGGAAGTATAGCCTTCGCAGTGGTTGATATTTGCGCTTGTAGGCGCGGGACAGTGTCAATAGTCGCGAGCATGTTCGTAATAGTGGCAGCGCTGGGAACCGCAGAGGCAGAAGGATTGAGCGATGACAAGGGTGGTCTAGGCACAGAAGGCTTCGCCAAAGATACGCGCGGGACATCCAGACCAGAAGCAACAGGCTCAGATTGAGAGACCACAGAGGTTGGAGCCAGAGATGATAGCGCTACGGGTTCTTTGGGTGTTTGTGATGCCAAGGCAGCTTGCGTGTGTTCCACGGCTTCCCCTTGGACTTTGCGCTTCTTCGACGCACCACTAGCAGAAGAGCATGTCGCCCGTTTCTCGGGCCTTGGTACGGCTTTTTTCCGAAGGGTAGCGGCATTCGCGCCTTGACTAGAATTAGGTTCATCAGGGCGGGACACCGCTTCGTTGATGTTGCCAGACAGCGACACAGAAAGGGTATACTGATCGTCGACATGAGCTCTTCGATGTTTGGATGCGTGGACAGGTGCATTCGTGCTGGTGTCGGCAACTAGTAAAACAAATTAATCAGCAATCATGTTTAGAGCGGCATCAAGAATTGGGGAGGCTGTACACGCGCTGCAGCAGATCAGTTGGAGTCCCTCCGGAGGGCTTCCTGCTTCCCGTGTTTAATAGAAGTGATTGAACATGAGTTAACTTAGGCAGGTATCCTGCTCGGATTAAAGCAGGCCAAAAAGCAGGAGCAGAGGGGACGCGTGTATGCGCCACAACATGATATGGCTTACCTTTTGAGTGGGATTTTCAGCAAGAGTTTGGACTGTATGCGCAGAGTCCGCGTTCGTGATTGGCGTCGGAATTAGTACCAGTGTCGAAGGAGTGTCGGTGACAGCACCGCAATCATCGCCTATGTTCTTCCCGGATACTTGGGATCCGTCTCCACTGGTTGCAAGCTTTGAATTGGCACGGGTCCGGAATGCAGATATCTTCTCAATGAGGGCTGCTTTGCCGAGCTTGGAGTACCCGGTGATCTTATGTTCTTTGCATAGAGCCTTGAGCTGGGAAACAGTTTGTTTCTGCAAGGATGCCAAGTCAGGGATAATCTCGGTCGACATGAGTAGATCGTGGTCAGAATGTCGATAATGGCGGTAACTAGGTGTCCTGGTCCTGGCTGGAAGACGCGTCTGGGGCTCCAATAAATAATGCACGTGATGCCAACAGCCACAGACGCGTCGCCACCGAGCGCGCCTGTGACTGGCCCCTGCACATCCCCATTCTTACCTAACCTCTGGGTTGCTTCTTGGACTGGCCGCTTTAGTGAAGGGCATGGTCGTGATGGATTCAACGAATGGAGAACAAGACATCATGCGGATATGGTCCCTCCTCACGGAGGTCTCTGAACAGCTTACCCAGAACCGCTCAGTGTCTATCTCTATTCATAACCTCACGAGTGGTGTGAAGGTGCGCATGCTTGTCAAGTGTGCAACATGCTCCTGCTGACCATGATGACTTAGAGTCAATCTGTCCACTCGCAGACGGGCTTTGTTCTGAGACGGTAAGCTAATCCTCTGTATTCGTCATTTCCTATCCTCACGCATTGCTAGATTCAACTTAGACCAGCCAAAAGGTTGCCATTCCCCCTCATAGCCTTGGTCAGGTTTTCTGAACTTTCAAGCAGAAGTCTACGAGGCAGAGCTCGAGCGCATGAACACTGCGATGACCGCAGATAACCAGACATTACAGAACGACAACAGGCAGCTGAACGCCCTAATACGGGAGTATGAACAAACTTTGGAGAATGTCATGAGTCAATTCCGTGCCCGCGCAGTGAGTGTTCACCCGCATTCGGTCTGATCGCCTCCTCAACTCCCGCCGTCTAGTACGAAGTGCAGCAGCGTGAGCTTGCACTTCTACGCGAATACGAGAGTGCGATCGTACAACGCGAAACGGAAGCCCTCGACGCCGCCCTATCGGCGAACAACTCACGCTCCGAGAGCCTAGCACGGCTTGGCCGGCTGCTGCGTGCCCTCATGAAAAAATTCAACGGCGAAGACGTCTCTTCATGCGAGGCCGCAATGGCAGTAGATGCACCATCTGGGCCGGTTGCGTCGACATCTCATATACCTCCACCCCCTTCCTTGGGACCTCAACCGGGCGAAGGCCCGACTGATGACGGTGTCGAACCGACGAAGGAGGGCTCTCCGGGAGGCAGCGAATCCGAACTCTTGGAGGTTGAGGACGATGACGACCCCGAGAAACTGCACAGGAGGATCATCGCCACAGAGTGGGCTCTCGAACGCGAGAGTGAGCTCGCGCGCCTGGAACGGGAGAACGAGGAGCTGCGGATACTCCTGCGAGGCGTCCTGAACGCTGAGACAGTTCCTATGCCCGCCGCGCCATTAGCGCGGAGGCCAGGCCAGGAGTTGGCTGAGATAAATGAGGATGGTAGAGCGTCACCAGCGCTGTCGGTTGCTTCTTCGACGGCAACAGTGAGACCTGGTGGGAGGAAGCTGGGCGGCCCGCCGGGGACTGTGGGTCCGTTCGGCTCGTATAAGATGAGGACGCAGTTGAACGGCCAATGAATGGCCGAGGTGTGTGTTCATTATTGCAGTCCCAAATTAACGAGACTAATGGGTTGAGATGCCTCCGCAGATACGTAGCTTACGGTGAACGTATGGGAGTCATACGTATAATTGGATATGAGGATCATTGCTAGGAAGTTTCTGAAGCAGCTTGTACTAGTACCAAACGTCCCACCAATCGATGTATCTCACGCAGAGAACTGGTTGTGTTATGATTGGTGTTCTTGACGCTTCTAATTAGCAGCCTGCTGCCCACTTGAATTGTGGGTCCGGTCGCTGACGCGGCAGCGCTCGACGGCTAGGCGTCTATCCACCTCTCTTGCTTTCGACCTTCATCTTGAACTAGTCTCGGTGAGTCAAAGCTTCAATGCTGAGAATTGACTGAAGATGTATGTTATGGCATGATACGATAGGTTGATGCGGGCTTGACTGCACATGCAGATCGATAGCGCCGCAAAGCTCAGCCAAGCCAAGTGCGAAAGCCGAGATCGCGGACGGCCGCAGTACCACCCACATGATGATAGGAAGTACAACTCCAGGCGCAGATCACAGCTTTCAATTGTACGACCTCCGGGTCGAAGTGATTTGCCCACCAGGAAAGCGCATCATGTGCGGAGCCAAAGCCGATGATTACTTTACAATGGAAGGCGAGATGCTCAGGCTCCCGCCTGGACAAGGCTTCTCCATATACTCACTAGGTAGGTCAGCCGATGTTTTCGATATCCGTACATTTTTATGCCGACATGATGTTCTCATCAATGATTGTACAAGGCGCCGTGCTCCCTCTACTTGCGGCCAAGCAACGCGTTTCGTCTCCTTACGATTGGATGTCCTCCGACAGCGACGTCGCCTGTCCGGATCCGAACTGCCCAAGCAAATTGCGGATAACACGGACGGGCCTACGGACATTCAGAAGGGGCGACACAACAGTCACCCCTCTACCTGATACTGCTGCACCGAGTCCGAATGTCAGGGAACTCTCGCAGAGTCTTTCTGTGTCCGACGAAGTATCCATCATGACGGTGGAACCGGACACTCCACGGGCAGATCCGGCGTCACCATTGTTCACTGATGTTGATGCGGAAGAAGTAAAACCGGTAGAAGAAACATCGGCAGAGGAGATCGGCGTTACTCAGGCAGAGGACCTCCACGACCTCCGAGGGGAAGCAGATTGTAATTCTTTGCTCGACTACCTTAGAGCTGACTGGGGGTGATGGAGGTGGCATGCCACGGATATCCTGTACCGTGCCCCGATGCCGCACGTCTTTACCCACTCATGCTACATAATCCCCTATACCTCATGCGGGAGCATCCAGGAATCCCGAATTGAATCGTCTTGCAGGGTTCTGACCACGGCCACGTCGCCTTTTCTTAGTCCTCATTGATCGCTCTCTACGTATTGCTACGGTCGTGATCATCACAATCTATCCTCACGCGTCCAGGTCACCCTGAATCGTAATCCCCTCTTCGTTCGCCCACTCGAGTCCGCTCTCGCATCCCTTCCAACTCCCCACGTTGAACCTATGGTTTACGCCCTTCAGGGCCGGCACGCATGCGACACTCCCACATCCCCCGGTCCCTGACATCGGAATCAAGTAGATGACCTCCTTGACACGCGAATGCAGCAGTGCCATGCTGCACATAATACATGGCTCGTGCGTCGTGAACAGCGTGAGAGAAGTGAGCAGGTAGTGGGCGCCGTTCCGAGGCGCCTGCGCTTCCTCAATCGCGGGTGTCGAGGAACGGGTTGCGTTGGGGAGAAGAATGGATGCAGAGGACTCCGATGGGGTGAGAGAAGACGTAGGGGCTATCGGAGTGGAGGACGAGGCGCGATAGTCAGCGATGGCGCGGATGGTATTGAGGACAGCGTGACGGAGGGGATGGTTGGTAGAAGTCCTGGTATCATGGCCCAGGAAAGGAGCGAATGTCTGTGCCGCGTACGCAGTTTCCTCTTCGTATGGAATCGGTACATATGCTGCGATCGGTAGCTGAAAGTCCCGCGATAAGCGAAGAAGCCCCCTCCAGCCATTCTAGATCCGCGTACCTCACCCTGCCGCCCTGCCTCCTGCGCTTCCTTCACGATTCGTTTCATGGCTTCACAAGCCCAGAGCACCCTACCTCGCGTCCATTCTTCGACTTCGCCTTTCCGCCTCGGCGCATATATGGTCGGCCAAAACGTGTTCTTATGCTTCAGCGAGACCTGCGTCAGGGCAACCGTGCAGGGTACTTCTACGGTGTACGGTTCCGACAATCCGGGGATGTCGGGTAGCGTAGGGACTTGCGGGCACTCTGACGTGAGCGCGAGGAGGATGGTCAGTTTGCTGTCTTGCTTCCGGATCCTCTTCAGGTGCGACATCGTGGGAGTCTCGAGTCCGCTCTTCTTCAGCCAGCTATTTACGGATGAGAAACAGGCTGTTCTATGAAGGCCGAAGCAACGTACCTCAGCGTGGTCGCCGTATGCCGAGCATCTGGTACATCGGCAACCCATGCCGGCTCTGTATACAGGACATGAGTCGATAAGACGACGCTTCCCGGAAGCAACACTGACGCGTAATGACGGCACTGAGCTCATCTTCTTCGTCATCGCGCACTAGCTTGATACGTGTGAATGGCAGCTCGTCTTCCGCGATGACACTTTGCGGGTTGCCATCAGCGTACTGCAGAATTTGTCTGTCCAGTGGTGATATTTCGGTTTGGTCATGCTCGATGCCGGCGAGTCCTCCCCACCCGTCATCAGGGTCTTCGGCCGGCGGTTCGGTCGGTGCTGCATCCACTGCATCGAACCACAGTTTGTGCCCGTAGAATATACAGAGTTCGTCGCCTTCTTGTATCCGACGAGTAGTCATGTATCGTATGGATTCTGTTTCAGTGTCCAGTGTATACGATACGTTGGGCTGTTGCGAGTGATTGAAGAGTGATCCTGGAATTGGCAAGCGTCAATATGATCAGACGTTCGAGGCCTTCAATCTTACACAGACCTAATCCAAGGGCTAGAGCCATGCGACCATCTCTCCACCTAAATGTGTAGTGGTCCAACAGGGTGTGGCGGCCATGCTCTTCGTACTCCGCTTTGGAGAAGAGGAGCACGGGACTGATCTCGACGACCGTGCGGGGCTCGAGGGTCCGAGCAGCTGAAGATACATATAGGCTCAGCACTGTCGGTTCAATTGCAATCAATCAAGGAGGTAATCCTACCGTACACGCCTCTGCCCTTTCCGGAAGAATGACCGATGCGAAGGCCACTGCTATTGAGGTGCTCTGGAGCTCGAGAATGCACGGCAGTATCTTTGTTCCATTCTACACGACTCCCTGCCATCCCTTGTGAGTTCAGCTTATATTCAGACAGCACACAGAGTGAGTTTTGCTTGAACAGCGTTGTGCAGTAGAGCAGGACATGGTAGATGCATACGAGTCAATCACGAAGTTGAAGTTTGGTGTGTGCGCCACTAATCACGTCCACGATCCCGATCTGGCCAGATCTGATCGATTCAACACGAGGCTACTGTACGCTCGCCACAAGCGCTCGTGGCACACGCCGCCGGAGATACAGGCACCTTGGGACCATCGTCATCTGACTTGTGCCTACCCCACATTATAAATGCTTGAAACATAGTGCTTATTCGGAAGCATGCATTAATACAACAATGAGATGAAAGCCGGATCGATGACCCTCGATTGCCATGGGAATTTAGTAGGCACCATGGCTTGGCACTGGCAAATTAGAAAGCGACATAGAAGCTCAGAACTTCACCTTCCTTTCGTTGTCTATCCTTCTTCCCAAGCCGTTGCGTTACACCTAGTTTCCTTGGCTTTCTCGTCTCAGCGCCTCCCTTGCGCAACTCAATCCGCTTCTTCCGATCTTCCAGCATCGTGAAGATCTCGTCACCTTTTCCTCTCGGATATCGTTCGTCCTGCCAATCAAAGACCAGACGTAGCCCTGGCTTCTCTTGTTCAGATGAACGTTGTGAGAGGCGACCCTCGTTTCTCGAGTCCACAACTCGGCGAGAAGCCGCAGTAGGAGGAATGGGTGCAGGTGGGGGCGTTGCATACATGTCGTCGATATTGTGGGTGTCGTACCGAACCGGAGCGCGTACCGGCGCAGGTACGGCATACATGTCCTCGATGTCATGCGTGTCTGCGCGATGCCTGCGTTGTTCCGGCTCGGCAGTCGCATACATGTCGTCGATATCGTGCGTGTCGTACCGACTGCGCGAACGCGTAGAATCGGGAGGAGGCGTGGCATACACATCGTCTATGTCGTGCGTGTCGCGCCCTTCCGACATGCTGGTCACCGAGGGGCGCGGCGTTGTCTCTCCGTCTGATTCTGACCTCTCGTCTCGGTGCTGGAGAACCTCGTCCAAGACAGGCGGGCCATGCAACTTTCCTGCTGCTCGGAGGCTGGATGAGATAGCGCGGAAATCTGGCATTTTCTCTTTCCCCTTCATTACGTATGGGATTCGTGGCGGACTTGGCCGGAGAGTCGGGGACGTCGCAATTTCCGGTAAAGGGGAGGCAGAAGGGGATATCGACGGCGGTAGAGATGATGAATGTTGGAATGTGCCATCGGAGGCAGGCGTTGATAGACGCGACGATCCATGAAAGGACCGCGGTGCCATAACAGCACTCGGAGAACGTGAAGATGGAGGGGAAGGTGCTGATGAGGATGCTAAAAAAGAAATGGGCGAAGAACGCTCAGTCGGGGGATCGGGTGATACAGACTGTGAATTGTGGTGCAGCGGCTGGGTCTTCTGGACAGCAGGTGGCTCAGCTGTAAGACGGACTGAGCACCAACACGACAACTTACGATCGCAGTTACATTTGGCGCTGAGGCAGCGGACCGCAGCTGGTCAGATCGCGCGACGTCCGCCTTTACAGAAGGTGTATGGGTTGCAGGAACGCTGACCTCGAGTCCGTGACGGACCGCGGCCTTCGTTGCTCGTTTCGTTTGCGGCGGATGCAGCAGGTCTATCTGTGGAGTTCCCCGGTGATGGGTCTCCGAGTGAGGCATTCGCGTCGCTTGTGTGTTGATAGTATTGTGCTCCTGACGGGCTTCTCTGAGGCCGGGTCGATCGGGCTGCGCGAAGTTGATGGGCCTTGCAGACTGAGTTGATAGTGACATCTGTGGGACAATCTGTGGGAGCAGTGGCGACTTCTCGACGGGACGCTTGGGTGAGGATGCAACCTCCACGACTTCTGCAGATGTCACAAGCGCACTAGATACCTCTTTTCTGGACGCCAATTGTTTCGAACATCGTTTACAGACCCAAGTGTCAAGTCCGTCTGCAGACTGGCCTTGTTCGTCGGCCTCGATACGACGCAGAATCTCTGCTTCGGAGATAGGTGGGATGTGGCATGCTGGGTGATGTTCAGTGAGCTAAGAGAGGACGGAGTGATGTTTGGCTCGAATGACTCACGGTGATGCCAAACGCGTTGACACTTGCAGCACTCGATAAGGAACTTGATGGGTGTATTCATAGTCTCTCCACATCGTACACATGCTTTTCGTGTGATCAAAGGTGCAGACATCCTGGAGCTACGAGCAAGGGATGATCGTAACGACACCGTTCGCACTGGGTAAGAAGCTGAGGCGCTGCGGGGACTTGCCTGCCAATGAACTTTGAGTGAACTTGCTGAATTGTCAAGCCTGAATGTGTTGAGTGGAGCTAGACTCGCAAGCCAGTCGTTGAGTCCCGCCACCACCTTTTCCGGCACTCCTCTTTTGGAAACAATAAAAGCCAGGAAAGGAATCGGAGTGCGAAAAGGAGGTGGGGGCCTCTAACGACTGGTGCAATTGGACGCCGTTTACCCCAGTACCCCCGTAGCGCCCGGGACTTAGAGATATCGCGGATTGTGCTCTGCCGCCCTCAGCAGCAAGTACTGCGCTCGCGAGTTGTCGCATTCGCCATCCCATGCACATATGACATTGTAATTGCCAGAATACATTCTCGTATCAATGGACATCAGTCCATGGCAGCATACAAGCCCAGTCGTCATTCACCGCCTCCTCCGAGCCCTCTGCCTCGCCCTGCCGTTCCTGCGCCGCGCGTGTGCCCGTCCGCGACCGCGTCCGCGACCTCGACCCCTGGTAGCTTGGAATGCAAGATAGTTATCAGAGGTAAGTTGGGTGCTGAAGATTTCCGCGTGCGATGCAGTCGCGCCGCCATCATCAGGAAAATCCAGATTCACAAATGAGGACAAATGATGCAAAATGAGGCATAATCGTGCAAAATGTCACCTAATTAGCCGCATTAGAGATTAGATCATTTTGCTTTACCCCCTTTCTAATTAGATCTAAATGACACTCAGGGAGAACAAATTATCACTACTTCATGGAAGATATGGTCTCGGTGAGGCCATGTTATCTCACAAAATTGCATGCTATTTCATACCATAAGCATGATACTTCCCACAAACCGTGGTGTAGCAGCTGTAGTGACGTCGCATCATAAGGTTTAGGATCATACTAATCAATTGGGTACTAAAGTACTGATAGTAATCAAGTTCAGTATTAAAAGTCTACGTATGTGTAGCTCCCGCCGCCAGCGCTGCCAGTGGTAGTAGTCTACCCGTACTCGCCCCGGGTACAGACCCGTCGTAAGCTGTGAATTGCCGGGGGCTCACCTGTACCCGTACCCGTACCCGCCCGGGTACCGTACCTGTGCAGCGGATACGGGTCGTGTGCGGGTTCGCTGGTCTGCGGGTCCATGCGCGGATGGGCGGGCAGATAGGTGAGGGAGTGGGGGAGTGGGCAGAACAGCGGAGAGGCTCGCGCAGGCGGGCGCGTGGGCGAGCGAGCGATTGCGCGGGCAAGCAGGCGGCACCGGTTGTCCTGACTCCTCGCCGTGCTCCCCACCATCTTCCTCGCCCGTGCGTACTCACCATCGACTCGCGCATCCCAGCGAGCCTTTCGCCCATGCGTCTTCCCGTCTTCCCGCCCTGCGTCCCGTCTGCACGCGCCACCCGCGAGCCCTCCCGTTTGCTCCCTTCGCTCGCCGCTTATCGGCCATGCCTGCGCGCTGGGCATTAGCCCTACGCGCTCGTGGTCAATATGCGTGCGGTGCTGACTCACCTGCGCGTACGTTCGTCAGCAATGTTCTGCGTGCGGTTGCCGTGTGCATCCTTGCCTGGTTGTGTGACCGCCCGCCCGTACGCGTTCATCGGCCGTGACTGCGCAGGGCACCCACCCTCCTCTGTTCCCGCTTGCCCACTTCCCTGCCCAACATCCCATCCATCCGCGAGCTCTCCAGTCCGCCTTCCTGGCCGTCTACTCATTCGCTTTCCCGCCCGTCCGTTCGGTCGCTCGTCCGCGCGCTCGCCATCCCACGTGCCCGCCCGCTGACCCGCTCGCCTGCCTGTGCGCTCGCGCTGGTCCGCCCGCCGATTGTTCGTCGGCCGCGCCTACACGCAGGGCATTGGCCCTGCGTGCTCGCGGTCGTCGTACGCGTCGCGCGGCACGTCGACGTGTCCTGCGCCTGCCGTTAGTGAGCCCGCACGCGTATGCCTGTGCTCACCTGCAGACCCTCACCCTCCCGAGGGTGGGCGCGAGAAGTCGAGGGCCCGGACACGAGAAGGACAGCGGGCTACGAGTCTACCTAGCAAGGGGCGAGGACAAGCAGCTAAGAACAGGTGGACGTGTGAGATACAGCAAGATGGCGAAGAAAGGCGGGTAGTAGGCGAGGCGAGGCAACGAGAGCGGGCGAGCTGACAGGGGTGTATGCCGGCAGACAAGACAGCAAGGACGGCGGCGGACGGGCAAGAGAGTGGATGAGCGAGTTAGCAAGGAGGCGAGCCTGAGAGCGGGCGGGCGAGCAGATGCGTGAGGGCAAGGGTGAGCAGTGAAGAATGAGCAAGCGGGTGAGGGCAGGAGGTAGGGTGAACCAGCAAGGCAAGGGCGGGCAGGGGAACTAGCGAGACGGGCACGACTGGCGATGAGAGCAGGCCAGCAGACACGCTAGTGAGGGCGAGGGCAGGCAGGCATGAACGGCGTGCAGATGAGAGCGGCGGGCGAGATGGGGCAAGCTCCTGCGCGAGAGGGCGGGAAGCATAAATATGCGGGATGCGCGGACGAGCAGACGAGCAGACTGGTGGGCTGGTTAGCAAAAGGGCGAGGACGCGCAGACAGGAACAGCTGGACGGGTGAGGCGAGGGAGAGCAGGCGAGAAGGGCGGCGAGGACGGGCGAGCGAGTGAAGAGTGGGCGAGCTCGAGAGTCAGAACAGACAGGCACGAACAGGCATGCAAGTGAGGGTGGGCAGGCGGGCGCGAGCGCGCAAGTGAATAGGCAAGAGGCTATGCCCTTGCGCGTCACGGCTACGTAGGGAAACACGGGCGGACACGATAGGGCGGCCGCGCGAGAGGGCAAGTGGGCGGGCGAGTCGGGTGCGCGGAATGGCGGGCAAGTTGCTCGTTGGTGTACCTACTCGAGCACGGTGACTAACAACAAGGATCGTCAGTAGTGACAGTAGGTACACAAAACAATGCTTACCGTTAGTTTCCGTCCGTCTGCCTTCCTTTTGTTCACCACTCTCGCCCCTCGTCCCGTTGTGTTTTGTCTTCCTTCGTCTGCGCTCGTTGTGCTCAGGCGTGTCGTATCAGAGCTGTTAGATTTCCAGGGGTTTGCACGATGCGGAAAAGGGAGTTGGGATAAGAGGACGGGTGCAAACCTCGCTGAAGTCCCAAGCGCCGGTTCCGGCCTTTCCCGCGCATACGTGGCTCGCACTAGCGGCAAGCGCCGGCTGTGCGACTCGCTACTTGCGACCAGCCACGACGCCTGCCCGACCGCACCTCAAGAGACTTGTGGTCTATCTGAGTCTCAGCAGATCTACTGCGCGCTCAACCGCCTCTTCTCAAAGCCGCGTGTCTCTGGGGCATGCAATTTGGCCAGGCGAACTCGGGCTCGCGCGATGCGCATCTAAAAGCTTGAAGGCTCGGAAACAGGAATTCGCTTCGGTGAGTACCATCTTCCTCATCATCTCCCCTTCCTCGTGTTACGCGTCCCCTCCCTCATTAGACACGTCTTCGTCCTCGCCACGCGTTCCCTCGTCCACACCTCCTTCGTCCAAACCACTTCTCTCTCCCCACTTCCTCGCGACACACCTCCTTCCTCTTCCGACACGTCTGCGTCGACGCTCGCGCCCCTGTCGCCATCCCCACGTCTCGATCACTCGACGACCACCATGGCTCTCTGCACGAGTGGCCTGCAAGACGAATCCCGGGCGGTGCGGAACTGCCGTGCGCCCGATAACGGCCACACAGTAGCCAACTCGGAACCGGAGATCGACACGCCTCCAAGTCTCGCTCTGCTCTGGGACGAGTCAACTCCGCCACGCGTCCTTCCTCCCACATGCCCGTCTGTTCAGTATGCTCGCGGGGGCAGGAGTCTTCGTTCGACGCGTCTGCGGCACCACTACACACTCCCGAGTCCAAGCTGTCACGCCTCTTCGCGCCCGACGAGCGCGGGATGGAAGGGACAGCAAAACGAAGGATGAGGGGTGGCAATCGAATGATGACGACGAGGAGAGAGAAGACCGTGGCAAGGGTGAGCACAACAGCTCGTAAGTCAGAGGTACGCCCTTGCTGGCTCCTGAGCATGTCCAGCGCTCACCGCCCTAATACTTGTCATAGATCACTGCCCGTGCGACAGGTTATGTTGATGAACAAGTCACTCTATCGCCCCCGCTTGTCTGGTCATACGCGGCCAATTGACTGTCTGCTCACTCACCGGGCGTCTGCTCGCCCACTCGCTCGCTCTGCCCATCTACCTACTCGTCTGCCCCTTCCCTCACTCGTCTGGACGCCCGCCGGCTTGCCGCATCGTTTGCCTGCCCGTCCGCCTCTTCGTTCTCCCACCTGGCACTTATTCGACTTCCTCTCGCAGTTCTACTTACTCGCTTGCCTCTTCAATCGTACGTCTCTCTATGTACCTACTCGTCCACAGACTTGCTTGTTGACTCACTCGTCCACTCACTCATTGTAGTATCAGTCCACTTACTCACTGGCTTGCCCGTCCATTCGCAAGCCTGCTCACGCATTCACCCATCCGCCCGCCCACATATTCGCCCGCCCGCCTGCATACTTTCCTACCCTACCCGGCCGTGTATTGCCCTGACCACGCACGCGAATATCCGCTCAACCGCGCGCGCGCCTGCATACTCATCTGTGTGTCCCCTCTGTGTACTAACTTGGTGCCCATTAATCCCACTCGTGGTTTGCATGACCCGCGCTGTTGCATAATCTGTACGGTTGCAGTCGCGAGCAATGGCTTGGGTGTGAGATGAGATGGGGATAATCAGTCGTAGAATAGCTAACACGTAGGAGTTGTCGTCATGATATTGAAGATGGCCTTGTTGACCATTGGCTGTTGCGTTGCTTAGTGTAGCATACAGCATTTGTATTCAGTCATACCACACAGCAATAGAATCATTGTTGAACTAATTGTAACAAGCATTGTGTGTGTTGTATGATGCACCACTTTAGCAACAATTAGGGAACAACCTGGTCGCTGCATCTAATAGGATCATAAATGCACTAATACTGTATCCAGTAGATGTTATTATCACAGAATTAGCTTGCAGAGTTTGGTGAGTACTCATGAGACATGTTAGCAGCAATTTGACACAAATTATTCCAAATTGCGGAATCTGGATTTTCCTGATGATGCTGGGACGTCGAGCTCGGCCCAGCCTGAAGACTGTATGGGTCAGGTTGCGGCGATGGCCATTGACGGTATGGTGTTATCGGCAGTGGGTGGGGATGGTACTGCACCTGGTGAGTGGCCAGGTCGTGTGGATTCGGTATGCTGGCATGGAAGGGAAATGACGGCAGCGATGGCCCGGGCGCATGAGATAGGGACGGGAACGGTGATGGTGGTAGAGATGGGTATGGCGAGAACGGTACAGGCGGGAACGGTGAGGGCGGTAGAGACGGGTGTGGCGACGGGGGTACAGATGGGTACCGTGAAGGCGGTAGAGATGGAAAAGGCGATGGTGGTAAGAATGAAAACGGTGACGGGGTTACAGATGGGTAGGGCACTCCCTGAGATGGACCCGCGCTGCTCGACTGGGTAGTTGGCGTGTGCGTGTGTACGGAGACGACATTCTGTGAGGTCCCTATAAGGCTACCCAAAGATTCCGATGTCTATTCAATGTGTGTCAATGCGAGCAGCGAGTGTAATGTCCAGCTACTAGTAGCAGTCAGGCCTCGACGTACCTCAGACGGCTTGTTGGAATCAGTGTGCCGTGCGCGTTTGTGAGAGTGAAGAGGCTCATGTCCGTCCTCGGTAACATTGGTGTCATCGGTGTTGCCACGTTTACCCGCATGGCCCTTGCGAGCGGATGCTTTCTTCGTGCCATCATTCCTACTCGCGGCCTTCTTGGCCTTTGGAATCGAACGGATAGGCAGCGACAGCAGGAGATCTGTCAATTCGGCCTCATACCTGTCACGCCATAGCCACGTCTTGAGCATTGCTGCAGCCACGGCACGCGTGATGGGTCCGACAGAGGCCAGGCGTTCGACCCGTGTGTCGCTGAGGATCACAGTGGCACCAAACAGTGCATGTGTGTGATCTTCCTCAAGCTTCCTCTCGCGCCAGTGAGTCGATGCTAAGTTGATTGAATAAGCCGACCGCTCCACAAGGAGGATCGCAATCCCGGTCCTATTACGCGCGCGTGCGGCACGTCCAGCTCGCTGGATGAAATTTGACAAGGTGGCAGGCAGCTTCCATTGCACGACGACATCTACGTCAGGAACATTGCATCCCTGGGATGACCATGACGTGAGTAAACTACCATGTCATGGCACTGCAATGGAATCTCGCTTACCATCCCAGCAGCGTCCGTACACACCAGAATACGGATCGGACCGATCTTCAGGTTATCTGCAGTGACGTCCGCACTGCTGTATTCATGATTGTTGCGGAAGGCCGCCATGGCATGCGTGCGGTATCCAGCGGACATCGTAGCATTGAAAGGGCGGATGACACCCAATTCGTACAAGGCAGGGTTGCGCTGTCGAAGGAGAGTCCCGAGGTGATCGATGATGTCGTTACCAGTATCAATGTTGTCGACGTAGAGATATGTCTTTGGGATGTCATTTGCTGTCTCGATCTTCTCTGGTAGCACGAAGTCTAAATCAGCAAGCGTGTTTTGAGGGTGCTCACATGCGCGAACAACGATCGAGACATTGGGGCGATCATTTCCGGCATTGATAAACTGGCTGCCAGTCTTGGGGAAGTGGAGCTTGTTATGAAGATCACGGCGGACACGCGCGGTCAGCGTTGCCGTTACAGCAATGATAGGTGTACCCGGTGCAAGGAACACTCGTACAGTTCCGAGGCTCGCATATTTCTTACGGAAGTCTGCTCCCCAGTGGGACAGACAGTGTGCTTCGTCGACAACAATGCTGATGACTCGGCGCATGAATCGGGTGTTCCGTAGAATGTTAGGGCTTGTGGACTCGGAACCCTAGATTCAGGGGCCGGGCTGCCTCGTGAACCTAATGGTTGGTGGTCGCGACGCGACCAGGGGGGAAAGGAGGATCTCGGGGTCGTGAGCAGGGTGAGGAGTACCTGCTAGGGTCGTTAGCAGGGCGACGAGCCTTGCTATTCGGGAGCGCGGAGAGGTCCTTGGTTGCCAGCGACGAGCTGGGCCAAGCGGGGAGTCCTAGACGGGCTGTTGGGCCAGGTCGAGGAGGGGTCCAAGGCGAAGGCGACGAGCGTAAGCCGAGGGGAGTTCCTAGGCGGAGCGATGAGCCTAGCCGAGGATGAGAGAACTGACTCGGACGGCGCGAAGAGTTCGCACTCGGATGAGGTGATAGTTCAGGTAGAAGAGTAGATTACTTCCCAAAATGGAAGTCAGATCGCTAGGTACATTGAGATAAGATGAGATGTACACTATCAGTTCATAATCTAATCTAAGGGACAGATAATGGGTTATCTATCCGTAACAGAGCCCCCCATTATGAAGCGTATAGTGTGGGTATTAACAATGAGGTGATGGCTCAGAAGAAGTGGATGTGGACATAGAGTGGAAAGGAAAGGGACCATAGAAGAGGAAAAAAATTTTGGGCAGTAAAACTGCATCTAGAAGGCTCCGCCATGCAGAGGCTGAGCTGTGCCGCATGTATCGCATCCCGAGCGGTCATCCTCGCAGGCATCCCGGTTGCACTGTAGTCGCCATGCAGAGGATGCGCTGTCCTGCGCATACCACGTCCCAAGCTATCATCCTCGCAGAAGGCATGGATATGCCTGGGGCCAGGGTAGGCTAGGCTCGGTGTACCTCCCTATCCTCCCCTACCCCCTGCCCCCCAATCCCGAGTTGGAGCGATCCGGTGGTGAGGTTCGGCTCGAGATTCCGTAGAGCAGAGGAGATGGTAGCAGGTAAGGGTGGAATAGTAGCAGGGGTGGGTGGGCTGGGCTTTATTTTTCTCTATTGCTTAGGCATTCCTCGTCGTAGGCATCTGACACTCGTATTGCTTCTTCTACTTGCCACCGTGCATGCGCAAGTGCAGCTAGTGCAGCCGGTGACTTGTCGTAGACAACACATTCCCGGGCTTCCCTATGTGCACGATAGAGTTGGAAGAAATTGGGTAGCTTGTCGCATGCAGAGGCGGAACTCGATGGGGGAAGACTATGAGGAGCGCGGACATTCCACACGTCCTCATTGTCCGAAGCCGAGAGTGGAGGTGATGAGAGTGGAGGTGTTGTCAAAGGACATGGAGGCATAGTCGATAGATCATGTCGAGGCGAGGTCACATCGGACGAGGACTTAGACAAAGGCAAGGATGAGTGTACAATCAGGTCTGGAGGAGTCGACAGAACGGAGTTGATGTGTCCGAGGGACGCCGCCGTGTCAAGAGCGGGTGTGTGCACAGAACACGAGGGTGGAGCGCAGGGTTGAATGAATCGACCACTGCCTTTGGAACCCGAGGGCGGAGGCGTCGACGCAGGTGTACCAGCAGAGTAGTTACCCGGCGCTCGGAATTGCCTCGCAGCCTGAAACTCATCCTGCAGATCATCCTCGACAAGAGTCTTGGCGGCCGTCGAGTGACCCGGGGTCGAGATGGACGAAGCTGAGATGGACACGACGGAACATGAGAGTGGAGAGCAGGGTCGAAGAAGTCGACCACTGCTCTCGGAAGACGATGATTTCGAGAAGGGCGAGAAGGACGAGAGCGAGGTGTCGACACCCAATCCGCGGGAAGGAGTCAGCGCGGCTCGCGCCGACGAGTCGAAATCCTCACAATGATCGTGCGTCGACGTGGACGAGTCGAGTGAGGGTGCACGTACGCCGAACGAAGGCAGGTGCACGGACAGATCGAGCACGGGCGTAGGAGCAAGGCGGGAGGAAGTGTCCGTGCTCATAGTTGAACTCGACAAGGGCAGACTACGAGGCGCGCGGACGTTCCGCACGGCCTCATCGTCCAAAGCCGAAGGTGGGTGCGTGAAGGCGTCGGGCTGAGGCGCAGACGAGGACAGAATTGCGGAGCGAGTACTGAACGTGCGGACATTCCACTCGGTCCAATCTTCGTCCGAAGGATCGTCCGCGGGGGCGGTTCCGTGAGTCCTTGGGACGCCGAGGCGCAAAGGTGGCGACGGAGACGCTGGCGAAGACACATGCGCGGATGCATGTTTGCCGAGCGAAGGCGGGGGCGAGGAGCAACTACTGGGCATGCGGCGGTCTCGCACAGTCCGAAGTTCGTCTTGCAAGCCATCCGTACGAGAAGTTCCGAAGGCCGAGGGAAGACCGAGGAACGAGGTCGGCGACGGAGACACTAGCGAGGGTGTACTAGGGCTCGAGGGTGTGCAGCGTGAACACAGCGATGCGGTCGAGGACTCGCAAGAGACGAGTAGTAGCGCGGAGGGGATGCAGGGAGGCCGCGATGGCGCCGGTTCGAAAGCGTGTGGCGGACACAGAGACGGGACGGACGAGGACAGAGACGCGGAACGTCGACGAGGATGGATGGGTGGAGAGGGTTGACGGTTAGGAAGACTTACCGCGGTCGTCTCGACTCGCGTCTCCTGCCTGTCGATCTCCCAGCTTGGGGTCCTCACTCCTGGAGCTTCCCATCGCGATCCTTCGCGTCCGTTCGTCCTCGCAATTGACCCGGAGTCCTCGTTGGTGCCTGCGTGTGCCTCTGCTGCTTGGCTGGTTGGCTGCTCGACTTCGCTCGTCGAGCTGTTTGCTGTACCAGGCACGCGGCGACTCCACGCCGCCCAGTACTCACTCAACGGGATGTCCACGCCCGAGACCTTTGAGGTTGCTGAGTGACTCTGGTACGAGGAAGGTGGTGGGGTACCGGAACAGGCCGAGCGGTGTGAGGGCCGCGAAGCATGCGGGATAACGCGCGGCGGGGACGTGGACATGTCAGGAGCTGGCGCGAGCGTGGCACACAAGAGAGGAGAGCAGGGTCGAAGGGTTCGACCGCTGCACTCGGAAGTGGATGAGTCGAGGTCGTGTGTAGACGCAGGCACGTCGAGAGAGGATGGGGACACGTCGGGAGTGGGCAAGTGTATGGAACACGAAGGCAGAGAGCAGGGTCGAAGAGGTCGACCGCTGCCTTCCGAAGCTGAGCGAGTACCGGGCGGGGAAGTTAGTGTGTCGGTCGAGACACTTGTTTGAACCGCCGACGTAACCTCAGCATCACGCCCTACGTGCCCCTGGGGTCGCTCGACCTTGCTCGTTGGGCTGGCTATTGTACGGGGCGCGCGGAGAGTCCACGCGGCCCAGTACTCGCTCAGCGAGACGTCCAAGCACGGGTCCTTCGGGGCCGCCGAGTGACTGAATTGCGAGGAGGATGGCGGAGGCGTGTCGGACGAGGGCGCGCGGCACAAGGGCTGTGACGCGGGCGGAACATCACACAGCGGGGACGGAGACGTGTCGGGAGCATGCGGGTGCGTAGAACGTGTACGAGAAGGAGACGGTGTCGATTGTTCGACTGGAGTACTCGCGAGCTCTGTTACTCCTCGCTTTCCTTCCCGATTGTCATCCCTGCTCGACCGACTGGCCCCTGCCCGCTCCCTGGATGGTTGTACTTTGCTGCTCGTACTGGTAGGGCTTGGAGCCTCGTCCTCGAGCCTTGATGTATGAGTTGGCGCGACGGGCTTGACCTCGAGCGATGGAACGACGACCGTGGAGTTGCTACCAGGCGCGCGGAGAGTCCACGCGGCCCAGTATTCGCCAAGCGGGGACGTGGACGTGTCGGGAGCAGGCGCGAGTGTAGGACGCGAGTGTGGGGAAGACGAGGGCGGACGAGCGTGCCCCGAAGGCGCAAGCTCGTCGCGCGAGTATGACGGAGGAGGCGGCGGAAATGCAGGTGGGGACGCAGGCACGTCGGACGAGGACGGAGATCGAGTGTCCTCGATACCCCTGCCCCCTCTGTCTGCATCCGTACCTGCTGTGCTTGGTGGCCCCCCACTTGCGAGTCCGTGTTGGCTCGCCTTTGCGCTTGCTGGGGCTTCTCCGGACAGCGTGAGCCTCTGCGTCGACTCGCTGGACTCGGCGTCGCGCGGTGGGCGGGCGGGCTGTTGACCGGCTTCGCGCGTTGAGGCGACGAGGGTGGGGAGATTACCGGGCGCGCGGACGTTCCACACAGCCCGGTATTCCCCTTGCAGGTCATCGGCGCGATCGGTCAGGGTCGTCTCGTCTTGCGAGGCGGCCTTGCAGGTTGGCGACGTGTTGTCTACTTGAGCAACTGACGAGGCGTCCTCGGGCCTTAGCGCGCGCGTCGGAGCGACTTGCTCGGTTTCGTGCGTCGAGCTGGTAGCTGTACCAGGCGCTCGGAGAGTCCGCACGGCCTGGTACTCGCTCAGCGGGTCGTCCATGCCGAGGATCTCGAAAGTCGTCGAGTGGCTGAGGCGCGAGGATGGCGACGGAGAGGCGTGCGAGGCCGAGGGCGCGTCGAACGTGGGCGGACGTGAGGTGCGTGAGAGTTGCGGACGAGGCACAATCGAGGGCGAGAGCGCGTCGAGCGAGGACGGAGGAGAGGAAGGTGGAGGGCGAGGTACGGTAGTGCTCACCGGAGTCGACTCGACTCGTGTCTCTTCTCTCCGGACTGCCTGACCTCGCTCGCTCGTGCCAGGGTGCCCCCACTCAAGCTTTCCTGTCGGCTTGCCGTAGTGACAGGCGAGGCCCCGTCCTCGAGTGTCTCTGCGCGAAACGACGCCACTGACTCGTCTTCGGCTGGTGACGACTTGGCTGCTGTGTTGACGGCTGCGCCCGAGGCTGCAAGGTCGTTACCGGACGCGCGGAGGTTCCACACGGTCCGGTATTCGCCCTGTAAGCCGTCCGCGCGAATAGATCCGGTCGAGGTCGTAGGCACGTCGGATGAGGGCAGGCGCGAGGTGCTCGGTAGTGGAGGCGGCGTGTGCGCGTCAAGCGACGGCGGAAGAGAGGAGGCGGCTGGGTGAGCGTGGCGCGAACGCGTAGGCTCATCGAGCGAGGGAGAGGTCACGGAGTGAAGGCGAAGAGGAGAGGGTGGAGAGGGCTGGTGAACCGGGGCACTCACCGGAGTTCCCTCGACTCCCATATCGTCTGCCTCTCTCTCTCTGCCTGCTCCATCGAGGCGGCTCGTCCTCTCACTGTCCGAGGGGTACGCCGGGTTCCTGGGCGTGCGCGTAGACGCGTCGGATCCGCCGTTGCACGGAAGGCGAGCGCTCGGTTGTTCGACCTCTGCCACAGAGACGGCGGGGTGGCTCCCGGGTGCGCGGACGTTCCACACTACCCGGTATCCCTCTTGCAGTCCGTCCGTGTGATTGGTACCGCTAGAAGTCGGGTAACCGGAGCGCGGAGATGTCGACGGGAGCGCGGACGAGCGGAGAGGCGGAGGGACGGCGAAGTCATGTCCAATGGGGATAGGCGTGCCGAACGCGGATGTAGGGGCATGGCCAGAGGACGTAGCCGGGCTAGGAACTTTCGGCGGGGCGAGTCGTCCGTGTGTGAGGGACGCAGGTGGACATCCAAGCGAGTAGGCGCGAGGAGAGGTCGTAGAAATGTTGAACGAGGACGGGGGCGCGTAGGTCGAGGGCGGGAACGCGTATCGCGTGTGCTGAGGAGCAGAGGGAGGAGGGAGAGGGACGGCCGCACTCATCAGAGTCTTTGCGACTCGTTCCTCTCCTCGGAATCCCTCCGTTTCCGTCCAAGTCGTGTTGTTCGGACTCTTGGGTAGTCCTTCGCGGCTGCTTGTCCTTGCGAGTGATCGGCGCGCAGCCTCTATGCCCATCTCGAACAGCTCTAGCAAAGTCGGCTCGGCGGACTTGCGGGCGGACGGCGCGCGGGCGTTAGTCTGCGAGTCTTGCGGGGCCTTGTCTGTGCTCGCCCTCGCGCGCGTAGGGGCGGCCTGTTCATAGGACTTGCAGATGCGTCGAGCGTCGATCGTCCGCGCAGTGGACGGGGCTTCCTGTCGAAGCCGCGGCGTAGGCGTAGGCGGAAGAGCGGCGGCGGTTGCGCGGGCGTAGTGCGAAGGCGCAAGCCCGCCTAGCGAAGGCGCGTGACTGGAAGGAGGGCGCGGAGAGGACGGGGTCGGAGGCGCGTAACTTGTGTGTGGAGGCGAGGAGGGTGGAAGCCGGGGGACTGTGGTACTTACCAGAGTCGGTCCGGCTCTGTGCTGCTGCCCATCGACCTCCCTTCGTGTCTCTTCGCCGCAGCTCCTCCTTGAACTGGCCGAGGCGTCCTCCGAGAGCCTTGGAATACGCGTCGACGCGTCTGGCGAAGTCTTGCCGACGCGACGCGTGCTGCTCGTCTGCTCGTCTTGCAGGGCCTTGCCCGTGCTTGCCCTAGCGCGCGCCGGGATGGCCTGTTCGTATGACTTGCAGGCGCGTTGAACGTCGGTCGTCCGCACCGTGGACGGGACCTCTAGTCGGGGTCTTGACGTAGCCGTAGACGCGTCGGGCTTGCCGTTGCGCGGAGGTTGAGCGCGTGATTGCACAACCTCGGGCTTTGAGTCGACGACGGCGGGGCGACCACTGGTATCGAGCGAGCGGACGTTCCACTCGGCTCGATACTCGTTTTGAGGATCGCCCGCGTGAGTGGGTCGGCGGATGGCGGGAGAGCCAAGGCGCGGAGGTGGCGAAGGGTGGACGGCGAGCGGAGGGGGAAGCAGCGAGAGGGCGGAAGTGGACGGACGAGCACAGCGCGAGGAGGCAGGCACGTCGAACTCGCCATCGCGCTGAGGTCCGGCGTGTGGTTGCACGACCTCGGGCCTTGCATTGGCGAAGGCGGGGCGGCCATTGGTATCGAGCGAGCGGACGTTCCACTCGGCTCGATACTCGTCTTGTAGGCCGCCCTCGTGAGTCGTGCCGCGGTCAATGCGAGAGGAGAGGGGAGGAGGCGAGGGCGCGTCGAGCGAGTGCGAGGGCGTCCGGTAGGTGGATGGGTGGTCGAGGAAAGAGACAGGCGGGATGTCCCTCCCGTACCTTTGCGCGAATGCCGCCCGTTCGGCTGCGGCCGTCTCCCTGGCGTGATGAGCGCGGACGAGGGCCGCAGCTTCCTCGCGCGACTGAAAACTAGAGTGGGAAGGCGGCGACGGATGGACGGCGATCGACGAAGGGAGCGGCGGATGGACGTAGGCGGATGGACGAGGATAGCGCGGGGAGGCGGGTGCATCGGAAGAGTGCGCGAGTGTGGACGGTGGACGCGGAGATGACGAAGTCGAGGGTGCGTAGCGCGTGGAAGAGGGAGAGGGTAATGGCAGGAGAGGGGCGGTGGTACTCACCGGAGTCGATCGGACTCCTCCCTCTCTGTCGGCCTCTCTGCTCGTCCCTCCGCGGTGACTCGTCCACGCGTTCGTCGGGGCATCCCTTGGGTGCCTGGTCGGGCACGTCGACGCGTCTTGCAGGGCGGGCTCGCAGGCGCGGGACGCGCTCTTCGTCTGCGAGTCTCGCGGGGCCTTGTCCGAGCTTGCCCTTGCGCACGCTGGGGTGACCTGTTCGTAGGACTTGCGGGCGCGTAGCGCGTTGGTCGTCTGCGCCGTGGACGGAACCTCTTGTCGGGGCCTCAGCGTACGCGTCGGCGCGTCGGTCTTGCCGTCGCGCAGAGGATGGGCGCGCGGATGCTCGACCTCCTGCCTTGAGCTGTCGCCGGCGGGACAGCCACTTGTACCGAGCGAGCGAAGAGTTCGCACGGCTCGGTACTCGTGTTGTAGGCTGCCCGCGAGAGTAGGTCGGAGGGTAGCGGGGGAGTTGAGGCGCGAGATGGAAGGAGGAGCGAGGTCGACGCGTTGAGCGAGCGACTCAGCGCGCGACGCGTCCGGGCGCTCGCGCGGGGACGGAACTCCCACGGGTCTCCGAACGGACTCGGACCGTGCAGCTTGAGATGCTGGGCCGCAGGTGGCGATTGGAGGTGGTTGGGAGCCTCGAGGCGCGATCGCCGAGGCGTAGAGGTGGGCGCTGTAGGCGCGCGAGCTGTGAGCTGGCGCGGGGGCCCGAATTGGTGATAGGCTCGCCATTCGGAGCATGCAGCCAGCTGGAGAAGGCATTAGATAGAAAGTGGTAGATAGAGTACTCGAGAATGGATTTCGACTTTGAAGGATTCCGAGAGAACTAGAGGGACAAGGGTGTTCACAGGGCAGTGGACCGGTCCCCTGAATGTCCACCAATGTTAGGGCTCGTGGGCTCGGAACCCTAGATTCAGGGGCCGGGCTGCCTCGTGAACCTAATGGTTGGTGGTCGCGACGCGACCAGGGGGGAAAGGAGGATCTCGGGGTCGTGAGCAGGGTGAGGAGTACCTGCTAGGGTCGTTACAGGGCGACGAGCCTTGCTATTCGGGAGCGCGAGAGGTCCTTGGTTGCCAGCGATGAACTGGGCCAAGCGGGGAGTCCTAGACGGGCTGTTGGGCCAGGTCGAGGAGGGGTCCAAGGCGAAGGCGACGAGCTAAGCCGAGGGGAGTTCCTAGGCGGGCGACGAGCCTAGCCGAGGACAGGGAACTAACTCGGACGGCGCGAAGAGTTCGCACTCGGACGAGGTGATAGTTCAGGTAGAAGAGTAGATTACTTCCCAAAATGGAAGTCAGATCGCTAGGTACATTGAGATAAGATGAGATGTACACTATCAGTTCATAATCTAATCTAAGGACAGATAATGGGTTATCTATCCGTAACATAGAATGCGGTCCTTGAACGTGCTTGACTGGAGCATTTCGGGCGAGATCAAGATGATGCGATATTGACCCTGCAGAATTTCCTATACATAGAGTCAACATGACCCCGAGGGCGCAGATCGTAAATGGTGTTTACCTGCATAATCTGTCGATTCTGTGAAAGTGTGTTCTGACCGTTGACAGCAATTGCAGTCAGGCCAAACTCGGTCTTGAATGTCTCGACCTAGTGAGCAGAAATAAGTGTACATGTTCACATTCAAGTTGGGCATGAGGACCAACTCGACATACCATTTCTTCCTCCAAAGCCAGTAGCGGACAGACCATAATGGTCGTCTTCCCTTCGTTGGTCGGCCAGAGATGAGGGCCTGCAGCAATGGCTGTTTTCCCGGAGCCGGTTGGGGCTTGAATAATGGCATCAACGCCTTCGAGCTGCGCCTTTACGCCTTCGAGTTGGAAAATTGCGGCTCACTGCTCCAGCAAAACCGTGTCTGCATGAGCCGGGCGAGCTCCTTCACCTCCTCTGCGGTGAGCTTTTGTTGTCGGTGCTGTTGTAGAGTTTTCCTACTAGGGCGGCGTAATTTATAGGCATACTTCGCAGGTCCGCGAGCCATGGAGTTCTCAGTGCAGTGAGTGTAGTGAAAAGCGAGAGTGATCGACAGGCAAGCCGCGATCAACTGCGCGCCTGTCAGCCCTTCGAGTGTTGTCGGTCATGAACTCAACTCCAATCGCTGCTCACCCTCTCTCACTTCGACACTAGGTCGTCCGCCGAGTGGTCTGCACAATGTCACAGGATCAAGTACATCCATTCAGTCCACTGCCCCGGTCTTCACCACTCACGGAACTATCATCGGATGTCGACGAGCCCCGGGCCCCTTTGCCCTCTCTATTCTCTGCACTCTATCAAATCCCTGCATCGAGCGACCATGTCCAGGCTATACCGGCATATTCATGTATAGAATACCTGTAGTTAGCGCAAAAGGGTGTATACATGAAATGCCTGTACTTACCGAGGACTGCTCGCTCATGTATGAGCGAGGCGCCGTCATGTATGAACGGGGCGCCGTCGGTCGCTACCCGATATAGCAGCGGCGCCGGGGTAGCCCGGTCCCTTCGCCCGCGGCGGGGCAGCACCACTGGCGCGCGATGCGAGCTGCCCGATATGGATGAACATCAGGGTCAGTGGCATCTGAGATCAGGTACATACGATCCCGCCCTGCCTGCTACGTGGCGTCAGTTTCGGCCATGCCCGGGAGCCCGCAACGAGCCGAGCGAGCGGTGAGCGCTTCCGCTTGCCGTTTGCGACCTCCACCAGCCTCCACTACACCGTCCCGCGTCGGTCACCGACGTTGTTAGAGAACAGCGCGCATGGCAACAGCGAGCATGCAGAGATTGGCCCTGCATGCAGATATAGCCAGCGCTAGCAACGAGGTGAGTGCAGACACACAGGAGCGAGCGAGCTGACCTTGTTTACAGGGCGGCGACGTGGAGTAACACACGTGTCGACCGCGAGGGCGTAGGGCTTATGCCTCGCATGCAAAAGCAGCCCACGGACGGATCACATGGACGCGAGGGCAGGCGAGCGAGCAGGCTGAGGGGCGGGTAGGCCGACTGGCGGGCAGGCCGACGGGCATGCAGGCCGACGGGCGGGCCGGCAGACGGACAAGCGAGCGGACGGGTGGGCAAGCGGATGGATAGGAGAGCGAGCAGACGGGAAAGTGAGTAGGCGACAGCACACGCCCACCGCGAGCGTGCTAGGCAATGCCCAGCACGCAGACACGGCCGACGGATGCACACGCAGGCGGGAAAACGGGTTCATGGGCAGGCGAGCGGGCGGACGAGCGGGAGGGGCAGGCGGACGAGCGGAGGGTGGACGGGCGGGAGAGCGAACGGGCGGGAGAGCGAACGGGCGGGAGAGCGAACGGGCGGGAGAGCGACGGGCGGACGGGCGGAGAGCGAACGGGCGGACGGGCGGACAAGTGGGCGAGCTGCGAGCAGGCAAGGAGATGAGCAAACAAGGAGACGAGTGGGTGGGCGAGTAGAAGAGAAGGTGAGCGGGAAAGTGGGTGGGTGGGCGAGTGAGAGGGCAGGCGGGCCAGAGGGAAAGCGAGCGAGAGGGAAAGCAAGTGAGAGGGAAAGCGAGCGAGAGGGAAAGCAGCGGGCGGGCCGCGGGTACAGAGTGCGGATGAGCATTACACGCACGGCGACCGCGAGCGTGCAGGGCGAATGCCCAGCACGCAAGCACGGCCGACGAACAGAAGGCGGGCGCGTGAGTGAACAGCAAGTGAGCGCGACGGTGGGCAGGGCGCGCAACACACGCCAACCGTGAGTGCGCCAGGCGACTGCCCTACCGCCCCTGCACGTAGACACGGCCAAGATGTTAGTAAATAGAGACATTGTAATGGTAGTAATAACATGTTCTATGCATATACAGCAGCCATCGCGGCCAATCCACCCGAAGTAGACGATTCATGGCTCGCAACTCAGAGAACCACTACACTAGTGTAGATAGACATCCCTACCGAATACAAGAACAGCTTTTGTGTTGTACTGCACCTCCATATTTGTATTCCTCCGGTATATGTAACTAGGCATGTATCTAGTCCCTATTGTAGCATAAAAGACATGCATACATAGTGCAAAAACGACCCGAACACGAGTCGGCGATATGTTGCACATCGCCAAAAGCGCAGAACAATGATCTGCGATAGTCAGTGATTATCATCTATATCACACCATTCGACACCTACCTCTCTGACAAGCCAATATTCTCGGACTTGTTTTCTATTGTAGTCGATTGTCTTTTGATGTCCTGCCTTCCGACTGCAATATAGCATGAATTCGACCCCACACCTGCAGCTACAGAGAAATGATATGGGGATGTATGACAATGGTCAGCAAAGGTCAGCAATTCGTCAGCATCAGCATGACTTAGCTATTATCATTGCTTGTTGCTTGCCCTACAACACGGAGATCGTAGCAATGCTTCGCCGATCTGTCGACTGTCTGCCTAGTTCATTTGTTCAAAGATACGGCATTCGACCGCTCGAGCACCATGAACAATCATCACTATTTGATCATCAGCCTTACAAATACATCGGAATAATAGTCACAAAAGGACCCGAGACGAGCTCGTGAACGACCGTCCAAGCAACAGTAGGAACCGAAAGGGAAGGGGAAATCTGCATGATGGGTTTAGTCGTAGAAAACGTGACTGGCACTTGGCCTTCAATGACCGTGACGGCGAGCTGGCAACCCGAGTGAGAGCGGAGGAGCGAGAGCAGACGAGCGAGATCGAAAGGAAAAAACTGGCACGAGGAATCAAAGGGAAATGGATGTGTACTGCACTACATTGTCAGTTAGACAGGTCCAAGTTATTTTTACAGAAGGACTCACTTTAAGACCGCGCTGGAGTTGAACGTTGAGGGCCAAGTCGGCTGACTAATGTGAAGGCGTCAGCGATGTAGTCCAGAAGATCGCACGAGCTACTTAACGGTTGCGTAGTTTAGTTCTCGCCAGCCGCAGAGCCACGACGCTGGCGTGCTTGAAGACGACGCGCAGCCCGCTGTTGCTTGAGCTGAGCCACAGACGAAGGCCCCGTGCGAACGATGGTATTGGTAGTGCCGCCGCCAGGCATCTTGGTGCCAAATACTTGGCTATCATACGTCGTGAGCCACTAGTAGTCTGCCAGAGTGAACTGGCAATCGACTGACGCGTTCCACCATGCGAGCGTATCATTGCGCCACTCGTCGTCTTCAAAGAGTGATAGTGCATTTTTGAAGAATCCCATCCCGGAGAAAGGACCGTCATCGGCGTGCCACTCGAGGACCGAAGACAATAGAAAACGCGCCTGCAGGAATCAGAGACAGGCACTACCCGGCGTGTGAAAGCTCGGACTTACAATGAGAGCAACATACAGGATGCTGTATTCATCGACCTTCGTGACTCCATACATCTTCGCGACTGTCTGCCGACCGCCCTTCTTCACTTGTCCTGGCACTGTTGTCGTCACACTACTCGGCCCTAGGAACGTGGTCTTCCAGCACTTGAATGCAATCAGTAAGCATCATTTAAAGATGAGGTAAGACGACTAACCTTCAATAGGAATGGCGACTTGAGCAGACCCCAATCAAGGGCTTCTGGATTGTACTCGGTTTCACAATACAAGAGTGATGGCCAGTCTTCATGGTCAATGTGTCGCCCATTTATGGCCCGAACGGACTGGCAAAACCTGTAGACGAATTATGAGCCTTAATTTTGTGTGCCACTCAAACTTACTTTTCGCGATCTTCGTCGAACTCATCGCGTTGATTCCGCGGACACAGCATTCGTGCTGCGGCATGACAGTGCCACCCACGCTGAGGCTTCGCGAGGGCACTGTCGGGAATGGTAAGTCCGTCGGCCTCGTATACGTACTTCAAGACCCTGTCTTTGAGGCGTGAGATGTCGTCTGTGCGAGCCTGTCGCTGAGCCTTGTCTATCTATAACAGATGAACCAATGTTAGTAGTGCGAGATCTTCAGCACAACACAAGGGAGTTACAAAGTGCGCGATAGTGTCAAAGTCAGCTTTATTCTTGATGTTCGGCAGGACTTTCTTGAGCACGGGACAGTAGTGAAGCAGCTTATTGAACATGTGTAACGTGTATCGTAGGTCCTCCTTCTCGCTGTACTAATGGGTAAGTAGTAAACCTCGTAGAGGCAACACGGAGAGCATATATGCGCTCTGCGTCGCATATATGCACTCTGTTGCATATATGCGCATATACGCACAATCCTTCGAGCATTTCGTCCTTGATTGGTGGTCCGTCATCGTCGAGATTGAGTGTAGGGTTGTTTCGGAGATGCATACCGAGGCGGATTGTGTGCTTTGCGTTCTCCAGAGGCCCCATCCCACGTGGAATAAAGCGCGCAGCATCCCAGAAGGGCTTACTGAGGAGCAGATGAGACGGGAAGAGAGAGAGAGAGAAAATGCTGACATGAGAGGCGTGCGCGCGGTTCCCATGCTCAAGCCAACCTCGAGCACGAATTGCCTAAACTCCTCGGCATCCATCGCGTCGGCGTCCAGATCTTCAGCCTCGGCTTCATTGTCTTGTACTTCTTCAACTTCTGGTGGTGGCGGCGGCAGTGGTTGTACGTCTCCCTCCGGCTCTTGCTCGGCATCTGCAACACCCAAGTCGTCAGCGGCCTACTATATGCGGTGCTACGAGTTGCAAACCATCTCGGCGTCGTAGTCTCTTCCTCTTCTTCGGTGGCGGTGGTGGTGGCTCAACTTCCTCTTCCTCTTCCTCTTCCTCTTCCTCTTCTTCCTCCTCTTCTGCACTTGATTCGACAGGGGTGGTGCCTTCTTCTTGCGTTTCTTACCCAACTCGTCACCGTGAGATTGGTGAGTGGTTTTCTCCTTGTGTTTGGACTGAGAGACGACTGCGCCAGAGGCGGGTTTGGTAGCAGAGGAGCGTGGTGACATCGTAGTACAAAGTCAAGTTGCAATAAGTGACGAGGAGCAAGTGACGCGTCGGAGAACGCGAGTGTCTGGAACACGTGACCGCCGTGTCTCGCGTCAGTGGCTGAGCCTTGCATCTTCAAGTCGCAAAGTCGCTGAGACTCTCCATCTTGTGTGCTCCGCGATGCGATGGCATCGTGTGTTTCTCATCCTGCTGCTTTGTCTCTCCCTCATGGCGTCTTTGCTGAACAAATGCCTTGGCTGCAAAGCGACTTTCGACGACTCGCGTGCCCTCAAAAAGCACGAAAGATCATGCGAGAAGAACACGATCTTCACAACAACTTCCCTGCAGAAGCGCGTCCGAGCTCCCGATGTTACGGTCAAGGCAAGGAAAAAGGCTAGAGTTGATGAGGAGGTGTTGGTGCATAGTGATAGGGAAATGCCACGGGATGAGGTGCGCAGAACAGACCTTGCTCAACTTTGCCATGAACTGATAACTTGGATGCTAGCTGCCCGTCATTCAGAGTACCGAGCTGGGCAATTCATCTGGATCCAGAACGAGTAATACTACTCTCTCTACGGCACCCAATGCATCTGTTATCCCTCCAGAGTCTCGCAGCCATGCTGGGCGCAAACACAGAGCGCTGCGACGCCTCGATGACTACCTTCCTTCCACAAGTGTTGGCCTTCCGGCGCACATACCAACCCACCTTGTCCTTGACGACGATGATTCCACATCTGCTGAAGCTCCCAATAATGCGACTGACCCGACATTGAACCATGACATCACCATCGGAGAGTCTGAACCCCCTATCCGCCCAGTCTCGTACTTCCAAACTGAACCGGATGACTTCGGTTCATTCCGTTGCTACAGTACTCGCCCTTCTACAGAGCCCCAGGAGTCAGCCACTCTCGATGAGCTCAGTGATGCCCCTACGCTCCGTCCCTTGGACCGCAGTCGTGACGGTGCTTCCGTCTTGCAAGGCTTTGGCCCAAGCATCGTGCAGAAGGTCCAAAGTGGTGCAGAGAAGGCCAAAGATTGGTTCTACCCCTTCCTCAATGCCACCATCTTTCGCCTCATGGCCTGGGCGAACACCGGGTCAGTTGTGAAGTCAGACAAGGAAGTCCAGCGGCTTGTAGACGAGGTCTTCCTTGCCCACGACTTCGATCGCGAGGAGCTGCGTCAGTTCCGTGTCGCAAGGGAATTCGAACGCCTAGACAGTCTCGACAAGCCGGGCAACATCTTCTCAAGTGAAGATGGATGGCATGAAGGGTCCGTCAAGATTCATGTCCCTAAGGAGGGCTTGAAACACGCATCGGAAGCCGAGACCCCTGCCTTTCCATGTACCCAACGTGTACTTCCGGAAACTGGCTGAGGTCATTCGCTCGGCGACAGAGAACACCGACGCCCGGCGTGTCAACTGGCTGCCATTCCGGCGGTATTGGAGACGTCGGAAGGTTGAGATGTCTCAGTCCGATTCAGGAGACAGTGACACCGAGTCATCGTCGGATTCCACGCCAGACTCGGACAACAAGTACGAAAACATCCGTCTCTTCTCTGATCTCACCGACACCGACGCAATGCTTGAAGAAGATGCTAGGATCCGTACGATGCCGCGCCAGCCTGGAGATGCCCCGGAAGTTGAGTACGCAGTGGCACCACTCATGGTCTGGTCGAAGACTCGTTGACACATTTCTCGCGAACCTTCGGTGGAGCGCACCTTTGGCCAGTATATGTGTACTTCGGATGGTTATCGAAGTACATCCGTGGACGACCAACATCGTTTGCAGCTCACCATCTCGCATACCTACCATCAGTGAGTGCTTAGCAAATATGAATGTAACGGTGCGTGGGCTGACGAAGATTAGCTTCCGGATTCCATACAAGACTGGTATCAGAAGACGTATGGCACCACAGCGACCGCAGACGTCCTCCGTTTCTGCAAGAAGGAACTCATGCACGCGATCTGGTGTCTCTTCATGGACGACAGCTTCATGGATGCATATCGGAATGGCATGCTTATACACTGTAGCGATGGTGTTCTGCGTCGCTTCTTTCCAAGGTTCTTTACATACTCCGCTGATTATCCAGAGAAGTATGTTCGTCTGTTGCTGCGCCATTTCACATTACTGACCGACGACGCCTACTGCAGAGTGTTACTTGCATGCCTCCGTTTCCTCGGAAAATGCCCATGTCCGCGATGTCTTATCAACAAATCAGATATCCTCGACATGGGCTCATCTGCAGATCTCCAGCTACGCATGAACATTCGCATCGACTGTAAAAAGTTGTGGTCCATTATTGATCGAGTGCGCCGGTGGATATTCAAACAAGGGTATGCTTTGACGAGCAAGGCAATTGGTCAAGTAATGGATCCGATCTCCATTCTCCCAACAAGAGTACGTTGAATGTGTGTTCTTGATTTAGCAAGCCAGGCTAATCAATAGATCAGAGTGCCTTCTCTACGCGCCTGGCCGACACTGGATTCAACCATTATTCCCTCTTTGTTCCTGATATTCTCCACGAGTTCGAACTTGGCGTGTGGAAGGCCATATTCGTGCATCTGTTAAGGATTTTATATGCCGAAGGGAAGGATCGCATTCAAATCCTAAATGAACGGTGCGTCAATATTCTGACATCATTGCCACAGTGCTAATATATGTGGTCATTGCAGTTTTCGCCGTGTTCCCACCTTTGGTCGTAGCACGATCCGTCGATTCTCACGAAACGTATCCGGACTGAAGCAGATGGCTGGGCGTGATTTTGAGGACATCCTTCAGGTAAGCTACACATTGTCATTTCGGATACTATGTGCTCAATAGCTTTGCATACCAGTGCATCATCCCCGTATTCGATGGACTCCTCCCTCCCCCGCATGACGAGCTTGTGGCGACACTGCTATTCCAACTCGCATACTGGCATGGACTTGCGAAGCTTCGCCTACATACAGACGAAACAGTGGCACTGTTGCATGCCGCAACGCGTGCACTCGGGAAGATCACGCGCAAGTTTCTGAGTAAGACATGTGAAGCATACGACACTCGAGAGCTCCCTAGGGAGGAAGCCGCACGTGGTCGCCGTAAGGCAGCGATGATGGCAAAAAGAGGGGTCAAAGCCAAGTCGAAAGGTACACAGAAGCGTGCACAGAAGTCTTCTGTCGGAGGCGCACCAGCTCCAGCACCACAAACCGGCGCCAAGCGTAAATTGCTCAACTTGCTAACGTTCAAGTGGCACTCGTTAGGCCACTACGCTTCTGCCATCCCTTGGTTTGGGCCACTCGATGGTGTCAATACACAAACGGTAAGATCTCGACGTGTCACCGATGTGATATATGCAGCAGATGATAATCTGCCATATGATAGGGTGAAATGGAACATCGTCGGGTGAAGCGGTTCTATATTCGCACAAACAAGAACAACGCTGCCCGGCAAATAGCTCGACGGCAACGCCGTGAACATCATCTCAGGAAGATCCTCCAGAGAGATCGCGAGTGGCATGCAGAACAAGTCGCACAAGAAGCTCGCAAAGCCCAGCTTGAGTCCCGCGAACACGCTCACGAAGCCCAACTTGAGCCGCGCAAACAAGTGCACGTAGAACGCCCTCATAACGGGACACTGACACACACCGTGGCTTCCGGGTCCGGGACGCAGCCTGCCGCAAGGCATGGCGCTGCGCTTACTGTATCACAGGAAGACCCACTCCCTTTCCAGACGTCTCCACACGAACGTTATCATATGTCAAGCTCCGAACGGCACTACAAGAATATCTCCAAGTGGGTCAACACTGGCATGCGTAATAATGACCCTGTGTTTACGGTCAGTGATTCAAGTACACGAGCACTGATTGCCATACTGACCATGTCCTCGGACAGAATTTCGTACCAATGCTCAAGGACCACCTTCTCTCACGACTGACAAACCGTGAATATGACGGCGACGAAGATAGCTTTGGACCAGATGAACATGACACAGTAAGCTTCGTCCATGACCGCATTTTCCTTCACAAGGCCCTTCGTATCAATTATACCACGTACGACATGCGACGAGCTCAGGACACGATCAACCCTCGTATCCGATCGGACATCATGCTTCTGGCACCACATGAAGATGACGAAGACGACAATGCAAATGGACATCCATACTGGTATGCTCGAGTTATTGGGATTTTCCACCTTAACGTCAAGCATCGCGGCTTCCTGTCGAAATCGAAGTCTGCTCAACGCATGGACGTGCTCTGGATTCGATGGTTCGGTCGCGATACCACAGCGCCCGGTGGCTTCGAGACCTGCCGTCTTCACCGCATCGGATTCATCAATCATGACGCCCCGAACGCCTTTGGTTTCCTCGACCCCAAGCAAGTTCTCCGAGCATGCCATATCCTACCGTGCTTTGCATACAATTTTACGGCTGAGTATCTTCCACCATCCATAGCACGCCAACCAGAAGAGCGCGACATGGACTATGTCTATTATTATGTTGGCATGTACGTCTTGTGCCAGTGGTCAATAGTACCGGGCTCCTTTGAACAGTACTCACCTTATAGCTTCTACAGGTTCGCTGATCGTGACATGCTGATGCGCTACATTGGTGGTGCAATCGGGCACAAAGGCCTACCGTCTAGCCGGGTCACAGCGCGATCCCTCTTGGCGGCTATCTTGAAGTTTCGCTCCCTGTGCAAGCAGACGATCAGCATTCGGTACCCAAAAGGTGAAATGAACACCGTCTTGCTGGACGACCTCTGGGAGAAGGCAATGGGTCATGATATGGCACCCCATGCGGAAGACATGGCCCGGGCAGATCCAGAGAGCCGACAAGCAGACGAGGTGATCCCTAGTGACGAAGAAGACTTTGGGTATCATTGGAGCTCCGAGTCTAGTGACGATGGCGATCATGAAGCTAGCGACGGGGACGAAAGGCTTGAGGTAGTAGATGCTGACATGGTTGGAAATGAAGGCGATAGCGACGCAGACAGTGGCAAGGAAGATGACGAGGACGTTCAAGAAGACCTTGATGCTGAGGATGAGGAGGAAGGATGGGAGGACGACTTTGATCAAGATGGTTATGCATCACCTTAGGTGCGTCTGAGCCGTTGTCGTGTCTCTGTAGTAGTACTGATTCACGGTGATAATCCTTCAGCATATTGTAGGCATTAGAACTGCAGTACTTGTCCAAGTCATTGGACGGATGAAAGCTGGACTTTACCTTGCCGGGCATTGCAGAGCCTCCGCCGCCATGATCCGACTCGATCTGACTCCGAGTCGTCGCAGCCAGGCTGTTCATAAGACTCGTAGTCACGGACTGCTTATGGTTCACCGCCGCTGACAGTCCCTCTAAGGCTTTGGTGCTAATTATCTTGCTGATATTACTTCCACCCATTTCGAATCTCCGCCGCTAGGATTAGAACGGCATGATCCCGTGGTTCGTCCTTCGTGTTGAACGCACTCACATCCGTAGCCACAGTGATCTGCGAGGGTGGCAGCTTGGGAAATGTCCGGTGAGTCACTGCTTCATAGTACCTATAACCCCTCCTAACTACTATGGATTTATACAGTCAATCGCAAGGCGGTGGACGCTCGTCCGGACGACATGCGCAGAACACTTGGCGCCTCCGACAGCCAGGCCTGACAGTGACAATGGCCCATGTGTCCTGCGGACACTTTGGCCCCGGGGTACAATCAAAAATCACCTAAATCCGTTTTTATATTCTGGCATTCCAACTAACTAGGTCCCAGTACTTTATTCTAGACGGAACGAGCCCGACGGGACGCTTTCTGAGGATGCGCGGCTTGACAGGCGGTCCGGCGCTCATACGCTCGGAAGTTCTCACGCTGGTCTGGTGCGAGCTCGTACGCGATGTTAATTATCCTCGTTCCTCTGCCGGTTCTACTACCGTGCATCCACTTTTGTTTGATCGCCATGGTATATTTCTACACGCAGAAACTTTCAACGGAGTTAATTGGAGCACGGGTACTACTGGTAAGCAAATATCTGGTGTTCGGCTCTCAGCGGCTAACCCATCTGCGATTATCTTTACAAGTCGGTCTTAGGGATGTACGACAAACAACCGTCAGCACGATATCGAAAGATAACTGTTCGTCACTATGAAGCGTGGCTATCTGCAGTTATCTTGCGAAATCATACAGCGGTGAGTCGATCTTTCTCTGTCTGCACATATCAGCAGAATGCACTTTTGCTGATGATGGTTACGGAGAGTACCACCCCTGGTCGGCCTCACATGCGATCTCGAGACTAAGAAGTTGCACACACCAACCCTGCGTTAACGACAACTGTGCGTGTGGACATAAACCAGATAGCTCAGCGCTGAACATCTATCCTTAGTGACTCCGAACAAACCTTCACACCCCTCTGGGCGTCCGCGCTCGAAGCGATCAGTCAGAGCCGTGTTCCCGGCGTGCAGCACCTACGATGACCGGTCATCTATGGTCATCATGCAAGGCTAGCGTAACCTTTGGCCAAATGAACAGTACGCCAGGGGCGGAAGCTACGGCAATGAGTGCACGGATGTACCATAATGCTCGATGTCATGTTCAAAGCTATCTAGGCTCGCAATGCGCGACTTCTGAGAGAAGCGATGCCTCTCGGGTGTCTATATGTCTATATACTCAAGCACACCGTCACGTTGCTAGTTGGTATGGTAAGGGTACGAATTCGTTCATCAGTCGAATGTGCAGCGCTGTTGATCGTTGATTGTGCTAGATCTTTTGTGTGGTTCGTCTGTGGTATAAACATCGAATCCGATTCTGAGTCCTGTAAGTAACATGTGAGTCATGACCAACAGTGCGCTCGCTGCCAGACATGAGCACTGATGCCTTTCACAGCCCTGAAGATCCTGCAAATTGGCGAATAGAAGATATGGCCTCTCAAGTTATGTCCCTTAACGGTGCTGGCCGGCCCAACTCAAAGCGTGCAACATGGGTAGCATATTACAGATTAACGCGCAAGCACAACTTCCCCACAGGGTTAGATGTCGTCTTCTGGCCCTGCAGTGAGTAACCCGTTATCAAAGGAGGGACGAGCATGCTGATTCTATTTCATAGCCTGGGGTTTAATCATGAGTGCTTACGCTCTGCGGCTGTCTCCCCGGTCACTTGCGATTCAGCTCGCTGCGTACTTTGTTGGTGCGACACTTCGACATAGTGCCGCCTGTATCTGGAACGACATGTGCGACATTGAGATTGACCGGAAAGTTGGTGTGTGCCACGTCTTCAAGTTGATCGTCCGTGGTTGTCAAATCTCATCCGTACATTTATGTCTTCGCAGGTAGGACGAAAGGTCGCCCATTGGCCGCGGGAGAAGCATCGCTTGGCGGTGCGGCCATTTTACTCGCCGCCCATTTCATCGCGTGTCTCGTCATTCTCTCGTATGCCGGAGACGCAGCGTGAGTATGCACGCACCGTTCCGAAAACACTCTAACCCTCTTGACAGTTTCAAGTGGGGGCTGTTCTGCCTCTGTTTTCTGGATCCCCTGTACCCTCTCATGAAGCGATGGACTGATTGGCCTCAGCTCTGGCTCGGTATGCACATTGCAGGCTCATCTGTGCAAGAACTAACATGGCGCTTGTAGGATTCGCCATGACGTGGGGCTTACCTGTTTCATGGGTGTCAAATTTCGGCGAGATGAACTGGTATATCGTACCTGTTCTACTCGGAGGCGGTGTCTGGTAAGGCAAATAATTTGTCCATATGAGATCTCTGCTACACCGTTGAACAGCTGGACCATCCACTATGACACTATCTACGCTTGTCAAGATCGTCGCGACGACATCAAAGCCGGTGTTCGGTCTACCGCAGTCCTGTTCGGAGATTGGACCCGCCTCATCCTCGCTTGCTTCTCCGCTTGCTTCGTTATATGCCTCGCATTGGCTGGCGGCATCAATCATCAAGGCCCGCTCTTCTTCATCACTGTGGCAGGTACCGCATTCCACCTGGCTTGGCAACTTATTGTCGTCGACCTGGACGATAGCTCCGATTGTCACAGAATCTTCAAGGTAAGTAGCGTATCATGTTGGCGCTCAGAGCCCGAGAGTTGATATGTCCCATGTTTCCTAGGCAAATGGCCAACTCGGTCTTCTCCTTTTTGCTGGGATGCTATGCGACTATGCCATTGGTACTACGAGATAGAAAGGCATAATTATTTGATCGAGTGTGGAGCATGCAACATTATCATATACCCTTGTTTTCCGAGAACATCCGTATCTTTCATGTGGGCCGTCGAGTTCCGTTCCTCGTTCATTTTGTCCTTTCCTACCTCACTTTGTATGACAGCTAAGTAGTTGCAGAACATTAGGCGCAGACGAACGCGCGCGACATACGATGACAAATAAGCGCCACGCCACAGTTGACGTCGGTTCATCCACTTCTGCCGCACCATCATGTTTTTGCGGCTTCACGGTCGTCTGCACTAGAGCACCTGTACCGAGCAGTAGCGACGCGGTCACGTTCCTCGGACACCGTATTAATGTGTTTTACATCGAGAGTAGTAACAATGCATAATGCCTCCCCTACACGACTGCTTGCAGTCAGCTACAATGGACGAGTCCGACAGACGTCGTAGACCTGGGTGTAGGGGGCAGATACACGTTCAATTGTCTGCGGGCACTGGCCGGTACTCCTGCAAGGCGTCCACGGGATCGTGTTTACTGAGTCGCAAGACATGCCTCTCATGACGGCTGCTGCAGGGACAATCGATGCAACGCAAAAACATGGTGGTGCGAGGTGTGGTGAGGTCGTAAGTCTGGCGAAGCGCGAGGAACGAGCGCTTCGACAGAGTGTTGTCTATGAGCGCGGGATAGTGAGCGCCCGAACTGCTTTTGTCTCGCGGTCACTACACGCTGGCTGCTAGTACCTCGCTCGTCTCTCGAAAAACCTAGATCTCAGCCTAGCTATACTATCTATCACTAAGCGACTACCCTAGTACCCACACATGGATAATCAAGGAGACGAAAACCGACCACGAGTCGCAGATCCTTCAGGCGAGGTATGCCCGAACTACGCAGGCCCCGCTTACGCCCCATTCAGGCAGATGCTCGTCGAGCGAGGGATGACAGTGGAAGACGCGACCCAGGCTTTGAAAGACGGTTGGCAAGCCGAGTACAACCAAAGGTTGGAAGCCTGGCAAACCCAGGTACAAGCCGACATAGCCGCCGCCGAGGCACAGCACCAGCGCATGCAAGAAGAGGCTGCTCGGAATCTAGCTGCAGAGCAACAGGTCCGAGAAGAGGAGCGGCGCGCCATGGACAAGAAGAAACCCAAGCTCGCGCGGATAATCTCGAGCCAGCCGCCGCCAGACACGATACGAGACCGCATCTCGGAGTACGCAAGAGACAAGTTGGCCAAGCTAGGGTACGTGGAGTTAGACTACTTCACGGCCAAAGCGAAGTCAGAGGCGTCGACATACTCGAAGACGGTCGCGGACGACGCGATGCTGATGATGAGAGGCGAGGGCTCGAACCTTTACAACTTCGTCCCGCAGCCGCAGGCAGAGCGCAGAAAGTCCGCGCAGACGCAGACCTACCGTTCGCGGAGTTCTTACTCACCTGGCAGGGTTTCCTGGCAGAGCTCGAGACCCTCCCGCTCTGGCCGCGGGAGCACATCGACCAGTACCAAGATTTCCTCGTAGCCATTGTGGGCCACGTGGACAACCAGGAGGCAGTTGGACAGGCCGCGCTCATGCTCTACGTCGACTCGGTCCGTCACGAGTGGCACAGGAAAGTCCTTGCGAAAGACATGGACGACACGCTCTTCAACATCTCCAAGTTCAACCACAATCTCTACAACTCGTGCAGGAGGACGGTCGAAAGTAAGAGGCACAGGGAGGCAGTCGAGTCGGTGCGTATCCGTCATGCCGCGGTCGACAGCAGTCGCTAACAAATGTTATTCTCCATCTCCATCTCCCCTCCTCCTTCCCCTACTGCATCTCACATGCAACTACACGCGCGCGTGGCCTGAAACGGCAACTCCCACGCGGCGTACACATCATTCTCGTAAACCGGCGTGGTTGCACAATCCTCTGACCGGCGTGGTCACGAAATTACGACCGGCGTGGTCGATGACCTTGCGCACCGGCGTGGTCGCATGCGTCTATGCAATACGGGCCGGCGTGGTCGCGGTATGTGCAAATTACGGACCGGCGTGGTCGCGTTTTGTCTCGGGACCGGCGTGGTCTCCGAATCTGTCGACCGGCGTGGTCTGACTGCAACCTGACCGGCGTGGTCATCCCTACCCCCTCCCCTGTACTGCCATTCGGCGCCCATCCCTCCGCCCATATAGCTCGAGAGGCTCAACGAGCAGATGCGAGACAACATGCGAGGCCGAGACACGCGCTCGCAGGCGTCTGCAGCACGAGCGCGTCGATCGCAGTCCCCGGTGGAGCGGCGGAGCAAGGGCGACGGGCAGAACCAGCGATCCCAGAAGAAGTCGGGCCCGACAAGCTACGGGCAGACAAGGGATTCGTCGGCGAGAGGGTACAAGGACAGCGAGAAAGCGTCCGAGCGCACAAAGCCCGGTTTTTCCCCACGGCGCAGGTCGCTCGGGCGGCGAGACTTGCGCCGTCTGCCTCGGTCGCCACCCCAGGACCGAGGTGGGCAAGTGCCGTTCCGTCACGCTATGGTCAGGCAAGAAAGCGATATGCCGAAGGAACTCCTCCGGACAGATCGTCAGTACCGACGGAACCACGATCTGCCTCGACTGGCAACGCCCTTCTGGCTGCTCCACCACCAGCGCCCGACACGTCCACAAGTGTTCGGGTTGTGGACTCTACGACCATGGAGCCAGCACATGCCCTTTGGCAGAGACGTTTTGAGCCGCTCACGCCGTACATCACAGACGCATGGGAACGGGCCTATCATCGTCCGGACTTCGTAGTAAATATCCTTCTCTCGTACATTCTTTGCGCTTCGGCTTCGACATTGGCATCCCACGTATTGTACATACACATACACCTCCAAACAGCAAGTCGGTCGAGCACCACGCAGTCGAGTTCCGACGGGCCATCGACACTGAGCGACAGAAAGGGCGCATGCTGGGCCCTTTCACCAGACGAGCCCTCGAAGCGATCATCGGTCCTTCCAAACTTCCCCCTTGTCCATCATCCCGAAGCCACACAAGCCCGGAGCCTTTCGCCTCGTCCAAGACTTCTCGTTTCCACGCTCCTTATCTTACGAATACACCTCCATTAATCATTCACTGTGCGCCGACGACTTCCCGTGCACATGGGGTACGTTCACCGCCTTCAGCCTCCTGTGCTACCGATTACCCCCAGGCTCGCAAGCAGCAGTCCGCGACGTGGCAGAGGCATACCGCACGATCCCATTGCATCCCTCGCAGTGGCCCGGAACAGTTGTTCGGGTCTCAGAAGGTGACGATTACCTCGCCGACACCAACGCCGCATTCGGGGCTGCTCCCAATGGCGGCACGTATGGCGGCATGGCTGATGCAGGAGCGGACATCATGCGATCCCGTGGACTCGGGCCAATCACGAAGTGGGTCGATGACCACGTATTCTTTCGCATCCTGTTGGGTCTCTGGCTGCATACAACGCTGATCGATGGAGATGGCAGAAGCAGGTCCAGTTCCACGGCGGGGAGCACCGGGAACGGGGTCGCATCTGGTATGGA